CATAAGTAAATTTCATTTAGAAATTTATAGTCGTATCACAGTATTTTAACTTCAATAGGAAAAGTGCGCATGTTAAAGTNTTATAATCGTATCACAGTATTTTAACTTCAATAGGAAAAGTGCGCATGTTAAAGTTATCGGTCGAAAAACAGGTAAAATCGAGTAGGCGGACACATTTCTAATAAAATATAGTAATCCCACGGTTTAGAACGTTGTCACGAGCACAAACTGTATCGGTGGCTAAGAAGGGTGCGGTGTATCGTCCGAATTTGACTGATCGGTTAACGTGTGTAGTATAGCTTACACATTTTGCTTATATGGTGCAAACTGGTGTAGGGGTGAAGCGTAAAAGGGATTTTTTCTCTAAAAAAACCTTATGCATTTATTATTTATAATGTCAATCGTACAGGACTATGGAAATAATAGCGGCTATTGTGAATGTTATACGAATATGCTAGTTGCGGTTCTATTCTATATAAAGAAATCAAAACGCCCAAAAGCAGTTGACAAAGGCTGAAGACAGCCCCATCCATCATAGTCGTCTATAAAACATAAAATATACATATATTGGAGATGTGGTCACATACACGGGAAAGGGTGAATTTACAAAATGTCCAACAACTATGCCAGTGACGACGTGCACCTGAATGTCTACAGAGACCTTTAACATGATGCGAAGGCTATATAGTCTATCATTGGTGTTGGTTAGAATTGAGAGTTTACGAATTTCAAAGTTTTCACTTCAGATAGTTGCTGATCAGACAACCGGCAGTAATCCCACGAGTCTGTGTTTGTTTATTTCCTTGTAAGTAACATCAACACTTAATGCATTTTCAATGTACTGCAAAACATAACTCTCAAAATGTTTTCTAAGTTGTAACTACGGGTAATGATTATGAACCACTGAAGGTAACAAAAGCTAAATTAAGCTACTAGTGGAAATATATATATATATATACTTGGCCTATAAGAATCGTTATAAGATATCTTTGAAAATATTTTAATTAATAGTTAAAAAACAATTATAGTTACTAATAGTTGTAAATAATTCCACTCATTATCATCATCACCATAGCCTCTATCTCAATTATTTAGGGTCACCTCTGCTGTAATAATTATAGCCTGTTATAATTAATACTAATATAAACATCAGTACTAAGGCGGTGACAAAAATATAAAATTTAAAACTACACTTAAAATCTTATTTATATAAAACAAATTTTCACTTCAGATATATCATATAAAGTGTATGTCAAAAGACTCAATTAAAATGTTAAAAAAGTTTATAAAATGTTTGATATCATTAGTTTATATCATTTATTTGTTCGTTCGTTACATAAATTAAAAAAATAATTTTTCAAATTTATTGTTAAGATGATATTAGTTATTTTCAAAGGAACTTTTAATCAAATAACAAATGTATGCGTTAGGTTCGCCATTATTGCATAATAGTAATGAATACGAATAATATTAATTACTCATGAATAGTGCAACGTTATGAGGATTGACAATACCCTTGTCAATGATAAAAAAAACTATAATTATGGAGATTTTTTAAAGTAATTTATAATAATTAATTTTGCAAAGATTTTTGTAACTTAAACTTAATATAATATTATTAAATTTAATATCTATTGTTGTAATCTTATGCTATTTTATGGCATTTTAGAGGGAAAAATTGTTGATAATACAATTATTAATAGAATCGTCACATAGTTTGACAGTATTAGAAAAAGAGTCGTTTTGAAGGCTATCGCTCTCATATCCGTCGTCGCCGTTATAATCATTATCAGTTTATGAAACGAATAATTCACCTCCAACTGAACGTTTGTTCGACGACTTTTGATCTTGAATGACTTTTGTAACGTTCATTTGACTTCGAATAACTAGAAACTTTTTCATTATAATGTTTGTAAGACCACTTTCAGGGTTTTTTTTTAAGTTATTTCATACTCTTTTAGTTAGCGTTTAGCATTAATAGATAGTATAAGTTTCGATGAAATCATTAAAAATTTCATTAGATACAGAAAATCCTCTACTAGATGACAGTCTAGAATGGTCGGCCGGCTATAGAAAATTTTAAGTTTCCACAGCCGGCTTTCCATGATTGAGAGCGAGTTTATCATCAGTTTCTTGGCTAAAGGTGTCTATCGACTTACTCTGGTACATTTCCAAGTTGTATTTATCCATAATACTACATAGTATACAAAAAATGTGCTGTGAATTCAACTTTTAATTGAAGTGAAAATTTGTAGTATTGAATAGCTTACAGCCTAACTCGGAAATGAATATTTTGAATGAAAATTATTTATTTTTAGTTAATTATCTTAACATTTATATTCCATAGTTACAGTTGAAATATATTTTGTTTCATAAAATTTATTTTTAAATTCACCTATTTGTTACATAAAAATAGTATTGAGTAAAAAATAGATCACGTTAATTTAATTTTTTTCAGTCACAATAATTTTCTTCGTACGTTTAAAATAAATTTTAAAGATTTTTTTATGAAACTTGTTTTGATTCATTAATAGTACATGTTATATTAACATACATTATTAATATTAATTTAATAATTAATAATCAATATAAAGTGTTAATTTATCAATAATTTTGCATTTTCTATCTTATTAGTCTGGAAAGATAATAAGCAAAATTCATTATTATACATTAAAATTGAGTTTATGAGAGCTTGAGACCACAAAGTCTCTATGCATATTACACCAAAGACAATTATTAATTTTGTCTTTGAGTTTTTACTTTAAAAGGATTTTACGACGAAGTATATTCAATGGAAATCCAAACGATTAATAGTGCTAAATTAAGCTTAATCTTCTCTTTTTTTAGCTACGATGTTTTATCGTTACACTGAATTATATACATAATATAAAAGATAAACTAAAATGCTATATTTATATCATTATTCAAAATAAGAATAGCTAATAATAACTACTTTAAATTANTCATCATTCAAAATAAGTATAGCTAATAATTACTTTAAATTACAATAAAATAATGTTTAAACTAAAACTGAGATTTATTTTTTTATACACAAAACAAATTTTTTTTCAGATATTATGCAAACTGTGTTTCAAAGTTTCAGCTTAATTTTTTAAAACGTTTTTTACAGTTTTACAAGTAATGATTTTTTTTTCAGTTTTAATAAATTTTTTGAATCAAATATTTTCTTTAAAGCTTAAGATTATCCACTAATATATTTTGAATCATCTTATAATAATTTATGTAAACTTATTTTTAGTAAAAATATACTTTTACTGTGTGGATAAATTTGAGTGTTAAAATTTAAATTTTTAATAGTTCAAAGCAGATCATGATGATAATAAAACATGAAATATCTATTTTAATATTCCAAGTTTATTTATGTTTAAACTTACTAACAACTATTATACTTACTACAAGTTAAAATGAATGTGTAAATATTATCCCATGAACTGAAATATTACAACAATACTTAAAAATAACAAAAACTTGCAAGAATTTTAAAAATTATTTTGAATTTTCACTAATTAAAATTTGTTTATCATCTTAGAAATCTACTTACCTTATAGATGTTCATCATTATCTATCGACATTGGATGGTGTTTTAAGTACTCTAAATTTATTAAATGATTCACTTAAGGATCAAAGGTACTGGTCTATTACACTTTCGGTAATTGGCAGCACTTACTTTCGCCTCAAGAACTAAAGCCATCGCATGATGAATAATGTGTGATATAATGGAAGGGGAGCAGAATGACAAAAAAAAATCTTGCCTTAATAATAATAACAGCGTAATGCTAACAGCAGGTATACACAGAGTACTCAGGGCTCACGCGTGATGTGTAAAAGTTAGAACAGTTTTGACGTAGGTTTTTCTCTCTTGTCCTTTTCCTACTCAGCCTTTGCACGCAGTTCATTCCCCACTCGGTTCCCCCGGAGGGAAACTCACAGGGTCTTTCATAATCCATCATTATTATCAGCCAACTGCCACTCACTGCCAGCCCTGCCTCCTCCCGACACCCGGAACCCATTGTTATTTTTACTCTTTTTTTTTTTTTTTTTTTACATAGTATGAGTGTTTCTCTCCACACTCTTCCACTGCACACGCATATAAAGTCATAACAACAATAGAGGTGAGGACTTATATAATGGAAGATTAAAATGTCCGGATCACGATCACCCTTACAGTACCCGCAAAGAATTTCTATCAGCTATATTTATATTGTTCAACAACATTCCCTCTCTACACCTTCTATTGGTTGTAACCCGCACACAGTTTTAGATAAACGTACAGGCGCTAAACAACTTATTTTACACCACAAAATATAATTTTAAAATATATTAGTAAATTATTAAAATTAAATTAAAGATTTTCGCTCTTAAATTAAAAAATTTACTAATACATTTTATATTGCACTCGTGAAATTTCTTATAACACTTTTCAAATTAATACTTTTATATTCATTATTTTTTATAAGTAATTCATTAGTTTCACACAGGCGCAAATTACTCGATCGGACAGTTGTGGTATCGTACATTTTTTTGAATTTAGCACAAAATTATGTAAATATAAAAATATCCAATACGAATTAAGGATACAAATTTAGATATTATTGTTAAAATATCATTGTTTGATTAACATTTAGGTATTCATGTAATATGTATGTATTTATTTTAAATCACAGCAAATCACAATCGAATACAATTTTTCTAATTTTATTTCAACATTATTTATCATAAGTAATTTATATATATATGGAATATTTTATATAATTTATTGGTTTTTTTTAAATATATACACCGAAATATATTACACANATAAGTAATTTATATATATGGAATATTTTATATAATTTATTGGTTTTTTTTAAATATATACATCGAAATATAATACACGTTGACAAATTAGTGTTAATCTAAAACTATACAATTTTTTACAAAACAAAGATAAAGAAATATTATTTAATAATTTACAATAATCATAAATAGGAACTAAACAATTTTATGGAATTTTATCGTCCAATAATTAACATATAAATTTAGATAGCGCTTTTACCAAATTTATTATTAAGATACAAATGACGTTTATCTTTTTACAATTTTTATAAAGAGACGTTCAAAAATAAACTAACGGTTTTTATAAAGTGCAATCTTTACAAATGATCATTTGTCTTAAGCAAGTGTTCTCTTTTTTTGTTAATTCAGTACTTAGGAATTATTTAAAAGAATTTTACTACAATATTTACACATTTTATGGTAACTGTTTTTTTTAATATATGGAACTTAGAATGATATAAACAGAATAACGAGCTTTTAACTACATTGAGTTTTTAAAATATTTTTGAAAACATTAATAGAATTTCGAAAGATGATTTGGAGAGATCATTTTCTGCACCGAAAAAGTTCATTAATCAATAAACAGAAAATGTCAAGTGACAAGCAATTTATCTTGGACTTGTTAATAAAAAAATTTAATAGTTACATTGGTTTTGCTTTGATGGTACGAGGAAAATGTAGTTCGCTATAATAGTTAAATCGAAGTATCAAGGACACAATTGTTATAAAGCCGACAGTAATTTTTTTTGAATAGGTTTTAGAAAATGAATTGTAAATGTTACAAATTGATTTGTAAATTAATGATCTTTTTGTAATAAAAATTGAACGTTTAATGGATTCAACATGGAAATGCTTGATATATCTGTGTAATATTTGTATATTATGCTATTTAAACGTTGGATTCGTCGCACTTGTAAACATTAATACGCATTTTTTAGACATTTGAAGCAGTTGGAGAGTTACTGGTGCTGCTCGTTCCACTAAGGTGCATGTCTTGCTGGTGCTGTTGAGCCACCGGTAACAATCCTTCACGTTGTCGTTTTTTCTGTTTCATTCTTCTGTTCTGAAACCATATTTTTACTTGAGTCTCATTGAGTTGGAGTGCTGACGCAATCTCGATCCGTCTTGCTCGCGTCAGGTAACGGTTAAAATGGAACTCTTTTTCTAATTCCGTTAGCTGTTTGTTGGTGAAATTCGTACGGCCCGTGTTGTTCATCAGTAGCAGCGCCGCGTTTCCGTTCATCACTTGTGATCTGGTCACCGGCGATTGGTTCAACATCAGCTGTTGTCCGCTTCTATTGTCGGAAATATGACCTTGGCCAAGCATAAGTCCGGCCGCCGTACTCCCAAACGTCGCATTAGCAGTTTGGTTGTAATCGGTTTTCAGTGCTAAAAGATAAAAGTCAATCATAAGTTTTTTTTTTTTATTTCAAATAAAACTTAATTTATCTGACAACATTTTATGATTATCATTCATACATTTCCTATGTACACGTTAATACAATAACTGCCATAATATATGTGTTTATTTTTTATTTCGCTGAAAAAAATTATCAAACATTTTTCCATACCTCAATATGGAATTTTAACGCGCATGTTAATTTTACACGCCCATAATGTAATTTAGACTTAAAGTAACAAACATTCGTATACAAATATAACATTTTTATCACTCATTGTCAATATTTTCCTAACATTGTACTCATTAAAATCTTCTAGTAGACGTATGTGAAAATTCGAACATTTTTTTTAAAAGTATAGCTCATTTTATTTTGTCCTAAGATGTTTATGAAAAATCTAAGTAATATATTAGATTTTTTTTGCAGCAGCAGCAGCCCTAAAAGAATTGTTTTAACGTTTCCCTTTGGTTTTACTTTGCAATGACCGAAAAACTTTAAATGTGTTTTCACGTTTAAAGTTTATTTATTTTGGCGGTAAACAAACTAAGTGACCGATGAGTAAACTTTTGTAAATTGTTGTAACACATAGACATTAAAGAATATGAGTTGCTTTTAACTAACAAAAAATATGTATTTGTATTTATGTAATTGCAGTTTAATATCTTGAAGTACAAATATTTCAAGAAAAATTATAGCTCGTAAGTTATAATTTATTTATTAGGAAACAAAGTAAGACAGAAAAAAAACAATCAATCAGATTATTGTATTTCAACGAATTGAAATGTTTCCTAGAAATTCAATGTCTATTTCTCATATAATAGGGAAAGCCTGAACAAAGAGGGTAGGTTTAGTTTAAAAGCAAAAGTGAGTATGAAGTGTTATTGACAAACATTTTTTAATAAATAATAATATAGTAAAATTATCTCGAATTTTAAATTCTGCTGTTGGAGTTAATTTTATATTTATCTGTAATTAGTTAAAGGAACTTTTTTTAAAAATTATAAATGATTCACTTTGTCTAAATACCCCTATAAAGTAAATAAATATTATTCTAGAAGTAAAAACCTTTAAATATTAATATTTTATAGTGATTTATTTTTATTAAGATAAAATTTACTTGCATAAGAATCCCACTGGCACATTTTCAATTAATAATTGTTACTTGGTTATTATTTTAGTTAACAATGTAAAACATCGAAAATGATTTTGATTGTAAAATAAATTTGAAAATATATCTAACTAAAAATTCTTTAATCAATTTCAATAATAGATACTTTCATAACGGTTTCATCTTATAAAACAATATTAACCCGGTAAATTCTAACTATTTACTTAGCAAAACTCTTATGCCAGAACTGATTTTCGCTAAATATTTTCAATTATAATTACAGTAGGTTAATTACATAAATATCATTTAATATATAAATTTAAAGTTGTATAATTACTTTTATATACGCAAAATATAATGCTATCAATTGTTTTAAAAAGCATAAGTATCTTTTTTTTACTGCAATGCTCATAATTCAAGTATTTGCACATATATTTTTAAAGGTTCAAAGAATACCTTGTATGCTTTACATTTATTTTTAAAAACCAATAGTCTAAATACAAAATGTTAAGTTGCATATTAATACACCTATTGAGTTTGCAATGCTATTTTGCATACTTTGTTTTTTTTGTGTTATACCGTACTATATTAAATTACCAAGAAAATCAGATCATGTATAATTTTTTTTTTTACAATTGTCACAAAAAAAAATTTATTAGCATCTCCTTCTATGCTAGTTAAAATGTATTGCTAATTAAGTAAATGAAAATACAACGTGTATAATACAAGTGCTAAGAATATAATAACAAATGTTCTTTCTGTATACACCGAGTTCATATTTAGTTACTTCAGTGTTCATTCTAAAAACTTTGAATTTTCTAACAGTACAAAATAGTTTTACATTGAGATTTAAATTCATTTGAGAAACATTCTCCAGTTTAATGTCATTTTTTGTGATCCGTCATTAAAAATCTTTAATATTTTTATCATCATCATTTTTATTTAGAAACTTAAAAAGCTATAGAAATGTACAAAACATAAAAATACCATAAAAATTATCAAATTATAAGAAACTATAAAAGTGTATAAAATGCAAGAAGCCATAAAAGTGTACAAAATCAAAAAGCCATAGAAATGCAAAGATTTTAATGAAACCATAGAAATGCTAAAATTTTAAAGAAGCCATAAAAGTGTACAAAATACAAGAAACCATAGAAATTATTAAAATACAAGAAGCCATAAAAATGCTAAGATTTTAATGAAACCATAGAAATGCAAAGATTTTAATGAAACCATAGAAATGCTAAAATTTTAAAGAAGCCATAAAAGTGTACAAAATACAAGAAGCCATAGAAATTATTAAAATACAAGAAGCCATAAAAATGCTAAGATTTTAATGAAACCATAGAAATGCTAAAATTTTAAAGAAGCCATAAAAGTGTACAAAATACAAGGAGCCATAGAAATTATCGAATTCGAAGAAGCCATAGAAATGCAAAGATTTTAATGAAACCATAGAAATGCTAAAATTTTAAAGAAGCAATAAAAATGGTCAAACTATTAGAAGTCATGAAAATGTTATAATTATAAAGAAAACATAGATTATCTCAACATTTTTTATGAGATTATTGTTCAGTAAAATTAAAAAAAGTGTTTCTAGACATGCTTTTCTAAATTTTGTACATAATTTTTTTCTTGAGACTCATAGTTATATTGTAAATTATAAAGTTGCGTATGAATACTTATAATACCTCGTGGTTTATAAACCAAAACTAAGACAATTGAAGGTGTATGTGGTTTTAATATTACTAAATGTTTACATCATGTTCATGAAAATCGAATAGGATATCAATAATTATCTGCCTACTACAATTGAGAATTGCTCTTAATACTTATTAGAACTTTTTTTTATATCTTTTTAAACATTTTGTATTAAATTTTATGATAAAAGTACGGTTTTTTGTTTAGTATTTAACTAAAGATGTGAAAATATTCATAAAATAATTCATATTTAATTTTCTTTGTTGCATATTTTTGGATTTTTGGTTCATATTATTGGTTTATAAGTGCTAAAAACTAAGTGATTTCGTGGCTCATGTGGTATCAAATGTAAATTTGTGATATACTGTTTTGATTATCACGGCCAACACATCTGAGACGAAAGGGTGCACTTGTATTTGTTTTGACTATTTATTAGTACACGATGTATATCATAAACGCGTAATCTGACAACAGCCATGTACGTTAAAGATTGTATACATACAGGTCACTGTAAGTATCGATTTGAAAAATAAATCGTGTTTTATAAGCCCACAGACGATCAAAATATTAAGAGCATCAATGTCGGATTAGTGTATAGAAACGCCGGACTCATTAGAATACTGGAAACATCTAGGAGCCATAAATGGAAAAAATAAAATGGTCAAACCTGTCAAATACTACACGGTTTTTTCATTATTCAAACGACAGTTCAGTAGTACCTTTAGGGTGATGTTCAAATTACGTTGGTCCGATTTTATATTATTCAGAATCTGAGAAAACAAAATGTATTCATAATTTTTCTTTATAAATAGGTAAAATTATAATTTTATATTATCATGGATTTCAAAGCGATTACATTAAATTTACCAGCAAACAGTGGAATTTTACACTTTGTGCGTCTAAATATATTTTTTAAGTACACCTCAAAGTGGCGTGTCCGATAACTACGTTTATGTATCAGCAGTTCTCTCGGGGGAATTGTACTCCCACAGCACTGACACCCTCAGTTGATACGTGTATAACAAATAAAAGTCAAAAGAAAATGTACATTGTGCTTAGGGGATGGTTGTCCTTTAATATACCTTGTTTGTGATTGATGACTGGGTGGACATAAATCGAAACAAGCGTTCTAGACTAACGTTAGATCTTCTGGAAATTTTATTTTATTTACGATTTTTAAATCTATACATTTTATTAAAACTTAGCATTTAATTTTTTCTTAATTAAAAATAACAATTTTTTTTAGATTTCAAATTCAAAACGCTTATATTTCATGCTGGAAAAGCTAATGTAATTGCGAAAAATAAAAATTTATAACAAATAGAAAACATACAAGCTATTAAGCAATAAACTTATTTGACTGTTGGTTTTTTTTATATAAATTATTAAACAGATATAAAAATATATTTCATTCGAAAATTAAGGAATTAATACATACAATCGAAACAAAACATAAAACGATTTCATTTTAATGAAACAAAAAGTTTAGTGATGACATATGAAACATTTTACTTGGTTACACGAAAAATAACTTAAAAACTACATAGCCAAGACAATGATTATTACAATGTAATTTTTTTTATGACGGCAGAAATATTTTCAAGTTAATATCAAACTTCAAAGCACTCACACGTACAACGAGTAAAATTAACCAGCTAAACACAAAACAATTTCAGTACAGAAAAATCTAAGCAATATTCACTATCGAAATTGTTTTTTAATGAAGTAAAATTGCATTATGTTTGAACTTAATTTTATTAAAAACGTAAAATGTATGAACAACTTTTATACCCCAAAGGAACATTTACCAAATGACGTTTGGTGTAAAAATGTTAGACGACAATAACCTGAACAAATTTTAGGATAAAGACTGACGTTGCCCTTAAATGAAACGAACGTGTCTTATAAACACGGGCGTTAATAACGTCGAATTAAAGTTAAGTTGACACGCGATACATCACAACCCTTTAGAAAAAATAGGATATATGTGTGTGTTTGCGTGGCATCTCACACTTGTGCCGCGCGCCCGTTAAATAATCAACCGAAACCCTTTCTCTCGACGCCCACTTGATCTCTTTCTCTCGTTTTTGTTAATATCGCCGGCCCGCGTTTTGAAACGACCTATTCTCCAAATCGTGCGCAATGATCCCTCCGAATAGCCGTTCATCACGAACTTACAA